ATTAAGAAGTGTGTATCAAGGGAGGGAGGGAGAGATTTAGAAAACGGAATCTGAGAAAACTAGATGATAGATCAGAGTTTATTACTCTCAGTAGTAGTCAATAAATTCATATTCTACTTTCCTTCTTTTCCCATTATTATACCTTTCCCCAGCCCATCCCAAGCTCTGTAATATCCTAAAGCACTGGTTTTACCTCTGTCCTTCATATTCAGATGTATATACAATGCAGTCAAAGAATAATGTGTGTGTGTGTGTGTGTGTGTGTGTGTGTGTATCCATACCATGCCACAGTGAACCTGTATAGTACATGATATGTTTTCTGGCATAATGTTAGCATACAAACAAAATTTAAGGCTGATGCTCAGATTTTGTTGGAGAATAATAATTCAATACATCTGGAGAGCATTATGTTGGAAAAGGCTGTCATAGTTATAAGAACTAAATGTCTTTAGTGACTCTCTGAACTGAAGTGGTAGAAACCACACTAGATTATTGTAGATCAGGAGCGTTAAACTTGATTTCATTGAGGGCCATATCAGGGTTGTGTTTGACCTCGGGAGGCCTGGGTTGGCGGAGCCAGCTTGATGCCACTCATGTCATCTCATTCACTCTGCCAGCAAAAATGGCTGCGATGGCCTCCTGCAACCCTCTGTCAGTAAAAATGGAGCTTGGGACGGCTACATGCGGCCCTCGCAACCACTGTTTTCACTGGAAGAGGCACCACTGGCTGGTTCTTCGCTGTTTCCAGGGTGGCCCCGCAGGCCACATCTAAGCACCCTGTGGGTCAGATCTGGCCCATGGGCCTTGATTTTGACACCCCTGGTATAGATACAGTGGTATATTTTGTGCTCTTTCACCAGATTGAAAGTGGTGTTTGCTATAAAAAAGCATTTAAACTAAAATTTCTCCTCAATGTGTTACATTAAAATTTATTATTTAAAAACATGAAGAATTACAAAATATAATCATCTTATTGAGTATGAAGCAATTGTATATATGTGCAGCAATTCTTTATATCTGAGTCAACGGGATTATGAACTAACTTCAAGGCTTCCCAATGTGATAACATTTCTTTCTTTTTCTTTCCCACAATTGCTTCTACTACTGCTATTTTCTATACTACACAACATATCATTTCCCCGCCCCTCAAATTATCCAAAAGACATCAACCCACAAAAAATGAAGATGGGGGAGATAAGGTTGTATATTTTGGGTGGTTTGAAGAAGTAAAACAAATAAACATACAATGTCATTGGAAATAGGTGACTCTTTGGCAGGTCTCTGCTGATTCAGCCAAAAAAATTCCAGTTAGCAAGCCTAAGCATGTCCTAAACATTGTTGGATCTCAAAACATCCATAGTATTTCAACATAAAGCTATTCAGTGTCTTAAACTATATTCTAAAATTGCATATCTCCTGTAGCATCCATCTAAAAGGTTATGGTCTGAAATGACTTTTTTTTGGAGATAGCAAATTATCACCAGTGATCAAGTATGAATAATTGATAGCCTATATTTCCATGTTATTGCTTCAATACCACTTCAAGCTTGTATTAACCATACCTATAGAATGCATGCACATGCATACACAAACATATACTTTCTATTTCTGATCATTTTCAGCCACAGGGACAGAAAAAAAAACAAATGTAAAAGATTTCAATCAATGCTAAAATTATCTCAGTTACATGATTCATTTGTTCATTAAATTGGCATCAAAGAGTACAGAGTTAACAGTACAAATGAATTAATCATATGTGAATACAGAATTATTTTAATATCAAAATAGTGTTATGGTTGCAACAGAATTAGTTATTAACGAATCCTTCCAAAGCCTGTTGCTTTCCAGATGTATTGAAACTAAACTTTGCAAAATTCCCAGTCCAATGACCATTCATTAGTGATTCTAGAAGTTTGTAGACTTAACATGTCTGGAGGTCATTTTTTTGAGGAAAACTGACATCATATTTATGACATTTATTATTATTACCTTTGTCAGAGTAGAACATGTGTACAATGAGATTGGCTGAGCCTCCTTTAGTGCACCCCCCCAACACAACTCATAATGAGGACAGAAGCCCCTAACCCAGTCCCAATCTTATTATACTATGTGATCTTGTTGTACAATGCGCTGGCCCTGCAAGTCTATCATTCTATGTTGATATGAAGTTATTTTCCGTTCAGAAGTCTGACAGCCCACGGGTAGAAACTGTTCTTCAGCCTGTTGGTGCAGCTGGCTATGCTTGTATATCTCCTACCCGATGGTAGGAGAGTGAAGAACTGCTGACGGGGTGTGAGTCCATATAACGGATAATATAATTTATCCTTTATATCTACATTATTTGTCATATTGGGCACTCCTTATAACATAAATTACCCATGTATTGAACCTGTCAACTATAAATTTAAAATATACCAATTCCAAGGAAATTAAAATCTCTTTAGTCTAGATCAGCTTATGCAAGAAAGTAAAAGAATATTACATTACAAGGGTAAGAGATTTCTAGAAACCATTCAGTTTCCTTCCATTTTTAGGCAGACTCATTGTCATTTAACCAATTTCCCTTCCTCCCCTTCTCATTCTAATACTGGCAATAACTATGACTAAGCATATAGCTGGATGGAATGGTTTTTAGAACCTGCAACTAAATTTAAGTGATTAGACCACTTAAAAATAATTGTTCTCATCTTTCCAGGACAATTGAAGATCTGAGAACAATTAGGTGGCACCCATTCTGTCTTCCAAAGCACCAAAATGCAAACAGAAGAATTCTCTATAGCCACTAAGACTTTTGCAATCACTGCAAAGCCAACCAGCGTCCCAAGCAGACTCACCGATTGCAATGGATTGCAGTCTATCATGAAATGTTGTAAACTGGAAAGGCAGAGGTTTCTCAGTTACTGTGTTAGTCACCCACTTCTTACTTTGCACTGATTTTCATTGCCTGTAAGTCTTTGCATACTTGAAAAGGGAGGGGGAAAAATCTTTCTTAGCGTAACTTCTTATATGTTGCTGCCATTCTAAACGTTATTACAAGGTTGTCATATATCATCAACCAGCTGTGTTTTTGCAGAGCAAAAAGCAAGGGGGGAATGTCCTTCAGAAAGAGGGAAAGATATGATTTCTACTACCTCTACCCATATTTTAGTTTTTGTGCTGCTTATATCATGAAAAAAATTAAGACTCATGAACAATCAGTAAAAATAGCAGAAATATTAAAATTATCTTGTAAATGCCCACCATCTTGGTGCAATCGTTCCATGTTTATAATGATCTTTGGAAAAATTCCAAAATGGATATTAATTTGGGGAGGGGAATGGAGTGTTGGGGAAGCAAGTATATGAGATACCCTTTCAAGTTCAGGATGGCCAAAAAGGCTCACCTGTAATGCTTTTTAGTGTAATGAGAGTTGGAGTTGGGTGTGGGAGAGAGAGGTACCTGAATCAGAAATAAAGAACCAGAATATGTAGCAATAATAACAGATTTTTACCATTCATCTTGCAAAAGATTAGATTATTTTATTTATTGATTGATTTATTGACTAACATGTTTTGGGGAAGGAGGTGTACCTTTACAAAAACAAAACAAAAAAAACAGCAAATACAATTCCATTTATGATGGATTTTCAACTGCAGTTGCTCTTCTTTTCCCTTGTTTCTGTCATTTGAAAAGTACAGCCGTGTGCCAAATATCTCTTAGTGGCTGGCAGCTTCTGCATCTCCACACCTTGCCAGCAAGCAGAAATGCTGCATACTAAACTCTTGCAGGCAATAAGAGAATCAGACAGAAAACAGCAACATACTCCTGCAATTTCTGCATTCCATTAAGATAAAACTTAAAATACAATGCAAAACATTTTGAAAATTCCCCAAATAACACCATCAAATATTACTTTTAAGAAAGCAAACATGGTACAATATTTGTTTTAATCAGAATAAATAAAGGATTATGCAAGGAGTGATCTCTATAGGAAAGAAAATGTATTACCATTGGGAGAAACTCCTGGTCATTTCAATTCTCCAGTCAATTCTTAGAGTCACCCAGTGATTGCAGCTTTTCCTTTTAACTTCACTTCCCAGCTGTGTAAAGAATTAGTTAAAAATGATGTCACGGCTAATCATCTCACTCCCTTTCTTAGTCTTCATCTCATTCACTTGCTGAAAAAGCCGAAGCTGCTACTCTGATCATTCCAAGCTGACCAATAAAATGGGATCATCCAAGTTCCGGCTTCAACCACTTGGCCATGCAAGGGCTGATCAGTGCTGCATCACAGATGCTTTTCTTCTCAGGCTACTGCAGCACTTCTGCTAAAACTGCATTGATAAAAGGTCCCAGGATATCCACACAGCTCTAATTGTTCTAACTTCATTATGTGTCCAACCTTACAGAGCCATCCAACTTTATTGTTAAAGGAAAGGATCTTTTTCTTGGATTGAGGGGAAGTGCCATCTTTCCCAAATTAAAGGGGCCCCTAGGGTGAGCGGGTTGGTTTTTTTAAATGCCTTGTTGCATTAAAACTGATCCATCTCCCCCCCCTTTCTGTTCCACCTCCCTTCTTGGAATATTACATCGTCAGAATATGATTCCAACTCAAAACCAGTAGTGGGGAAAAAAATTCTGAATGGAAGCTATTTGCAGTGGAGTCATGCACTGAATTTGTGATGTAGAAATCAGAATCCCTGCAGTTTTAAACAAAGACTCAGACCTGACATAAAGCTACTGGCATTTTAAAACCTTTTCTTGAAGATCAGGACATTGAAGGGGTAGGCTCTTCCAATCAGGTTAATGGTTGGTACTGCAAACTGTGCACCCAAATACTAGTCCTGTGTAAGCTGGTCTACAAATGGATCATCTCTTGAATTTGCATCTAATGTTTACCTTTCTGGAATGGCGTTAAAATTCCAGTTGAAATGTGAAGGTATTGTAACAAAACCTCTTGATCAACAAGGGCAGAAAATAAACCATCTCCTAACCCACAGCAAGCAATGCTCCATAAGAACCCCCTTCCCAATCTCCAGCATTTCAAAACACATGTATAAAAATGATGCTATTCCTAATTATCTGCAAATTTATTGAGCTATGGGCCCATAACCTCTCAGCAGCAAGGCAGTACCAGCCATAAAGCAAGGCCTACTAAGTAGCTAACTGCCCTGTTTGTAGCCATGGGCAACCCCTTCTCCCCTCCCCTCCAAACTTGCCTATTTTCTCCTTGGGTAACACTGGACCTTGTATTGAGAATTACTCATCCCTGATGTGGACTGGAGGCAGAACTAAACATTCTTTATAAGACTCGGTTGCATAATGGAAGGCGGCTACCTGATTTTACTTCATCTTTCATCCATTCTCAGCCTAACTGTAGAAGCAAGAGAGACTCAAGCAGAAGCAGCTGCAACATTAGTTGCAAAAGGAGTGAATTTCAGCATGTATACAGATAACCTCTGTCTGTGGAAATTGGACTTATGCAATATATATTCCACTCTTCTTTCCTGTAGAATTATACACCCAAATCGAACACAATAGGGAATTAACAGCTTCTGTAAAAAAATTACCCTTTATATGTACCTAAAGAGCAAGACCTATGGAAACATGTCATTCTTAGAAGAAAACAGCCAAGAGCAAAGCCCCTACTATCTACTTACCCTAGCCCACTCTAACAAAGCCCCTCTGCAACTGAACAATCATTTTCACAGAATCCCCCTAGAACAGGGCAGTGGTGGTATTCAGCAGGTTCTGACCAGTTCTGGAGAACCAGTCGCAGAAATTTTGAGTAGTTTGAAGAACCAGCAAATACCACCTCTGACAGGCCCCACCCCCATCTATTCTCTACTCCTGACTCCCAGCTGGGTCTTCTTTTGTTGCCCTGCACAGGAGAACAGAGCTGGAAAGCAGGTTAGTGGGGTGGGGAGGGAATGGAGATTTTGCAGTAACCTTCCCCCAAGAGTGGGGTGGGAATGGAGATTTTACAGTATCCTTCCCCTGCCATGCCCACCAAGCCATGCCCACGGAACTGGTAGTAAAAAAATTAAATCCCACCACTGGAACAGGGATGTCAAACTCAAGGCCTGCGGGCCAGATATGGCCTGTGAGGTGCTTAATTCTGGCCTGCAGGGCACCCGTGGAAAGAGCAAAGGACAGCCTGCGGTGCCTCTGTCAGTGAAAATGGTATATGGCCCCCCTGGGCTCCGTTTTTGCTGGCAGATGGGTTCAAATGGCTGTCCAGGCTGAAAACAGGGCCCAGGAGGCTGTGCACAGACCCCAGGCTCCATTTTTGCTGGCAGATGGCTTCAGGGAGCCATCCAGGCCGAAAACAAGGCTGGCAGAGGGCTTCAGGAGGCTGTCCAGGCCAAAAATGGAGCTCAGGGGGCCATATGCACCCCTCAACTCTATTTTTGCTGGCAGGGGGCTAGCAAAACAAACTAAAAGCAAAACAAAACACAAGGAGAAATGTTTCCCCTTTTGCATTTGAGCGTCCAAGGAGGGACAGGAAAAGAGAAAGGGAAAGAGGAAAGACAAAGACAAAGAAGGGAAGATAAGAAGAAAGCAAGGAAGGAAAAAGAAGGAAAGGGGAAGGAACAACAACCAATGAGGGAGCAAACAATTTTAGAAATGAACTACTGGCTTAAAAACTGGTGTCATCAACAAAAATTTGGCTTCCTAGACCGTGGTGTGCATTACGTAGATGAAGGGCTACTGGCAAGGGATGGACTGCACCTTACAAGAACTGGAAAGAATATATTTGGAAAACGACTGACTCATCTTATCAAAAAGGCTTTTAACTAAAATTGAGGGGGAAAGGAGGGCAATCTTCATGACCTATAGCAAAAATCACTAGATAACCAATCAAATAAGGAGGAAGGGAGTAAAGATAAAAAAAAGAAATTAAAAAAAGAAAAACATAATAAAATAGAGAGGATGGAAAGGATCTAAATCCCAGTTACAAAGTAGGAGATATAAGAAGCATACTCAAGACCAATAAGGACTCAAATGCCTATATGCTAACGTTCAAAGGTTAGGGAACAAACAAGGTGAACTTGAAATATTAGTACATGAAGACAGATATGAAATAGTTGCCATTACTTAAATTTGGTGGGATGAAACTCATGACTGGAATGTATTGATGGAAGGATACAAACTTTTCAAAAGAAACAGACCTAACAAAAGAGGTAGACTTGCATTGTATATAAAATATAACTATATCTCTACAGGAGTACACAAAACCAAGAAACCTCCTAGAATCCATATGGGTCAATACAAAAGGAACAAAAAATGGCATTGCTATAGGTGTATACTACAGGCCACCCAACCAAGCAGAAGAAATAGATGAACTTTTTGCTAACCGATTAATGAATGTATGTAGGAAATATAATCACAGTAGTAATGGGAGACTTTAATTACCCTAATATCAACTGGGAGACAAACTCTGCAGCAAGTGGGAGATTCCTAACTAATTTAGCTGACAGCTTTGTCATCCAAAAGGTGTGGCGGGGGGGGGGGACTAGAAGAAAAGCTATATCGGACCTAACTCTTACTAATACAGAAGAAGTGATAGAGGGAGTTGAAATTGCCAGAACCTTGGGCGAGAGTGACCATGTCATATTGGGATTCAATATAATGCAAACACAAGCAATAGAACATAATCCAATTAGTGCCTTAAACTTTAAAAGAGCTGATTTTAATAGACTCAGAGACAGCCTAAGCAAAATTTGATGGCTAAAAATCCTAAAGGGGAAAACAACTCAAAAAGCATGGAAAACATTGAAAAATATGATCATAAAAGCCCAGCCCCACACAATACCACTGAAAAACAAGTAATCCAAGAAGAAACCAGCATGGTTGCACAAAGATCTCTCCTATAAACTGAAAGATGAAAAAGATAAATACAAAAAAATGGAAAGAGTGACACATAACCATGGCAGAATATCAGCAAACCCTAAATCTGTAAAGAAGTAAGGGAAACAAATACTTAAAATAAAAATCAAAGATACTTTTTTTAAAAAAGTTTCTTTCAACATATTAATAACAAGAAAAAAGTCAAGGAAACAGTTGGTCCAATAAAGAGAGAAGATGGCAAGGAAGTAATAGGCAGTAGAGAGAAAGTAGAGCTGCTTAACTCACTCTTTGCATCACAAAAACATAACTATAAAAGACAGACTAGAAATAAAAAATAAAATAGGCAAGAAAATGGTAAGAGAACACTTGTCTGACCTTGATGAATGACCTTGATGTATATAAACCACCAGGATCTTATGCATTACACCCAAGAGTTCTGATGGAGCTGGCAGATATTAAATAAGAACCACTGTATCATATCTTTAAAAATCCCGGAGCAACAGGGAACTATCAGATGATTGGAAAAGAGCTGATGTGGTTCACATCTTCAAAAAAGGAAAAAAAAAAAACAGACCCAGGAAACTACAGACCAATCACCCTAAGATCAATATCTGTGAAGATACTGGAAAAAATAATTAAATAACAGATTTGTGAACATCTAGAAACAAATAAAATTATAACTAGAAGCCAGCAATCTTATTTCATTCTTTGACGAAGTGACTAAATTAGTTAGACAAGTGAAATGCAGTAGACATAGTATATTTAGACTTCAGCAAGGCATTCAAAGTAGACCATAATCTACTTCTTACTGACCTAGAAAAAAGTGGGATAGATAGCATTACCATCAGATGGATTTGTAACTAGTGGACAAACCATACTTAATAAGTAATCCTTAATGATATTACATCTACATGGAAGGAAGGAAGCAGTGGGGTATCACAATGTTCTGTTTTAGACCCAGTACTCTTCAATATCTTCATAAATGACTTAGTTGAGGGAATAGAAGGGGAACTCATTAAATTTGCAAATGACGTTAAGGTGGCAGGAATAACCAACACTCCAGAAGACAAGCTCAAGATCCAAAAAGATCTTGACAGACTTGAACAATGGGCCCTATCTAACAGCATGAAATTTAATGTGGAGAAATGTGGCTTTACACTTGGGTACAAATACAGATTAGGCAAAACCTGGCCTTAATTGTGAGTAACTGGGAAAGGGACTTTGGAGTCCTCGTGGACAATCACTTAAACATGAATGAGCAGTGTGTGGCAGCAGTCAAAAAAGCTAATACAATCCTTTGTTATATAAACAGAGGCATAGAATCAAAATCATGTGAAGTATGAGTATCACTTTATAAAGCCTAAGTAAAACCAACTTGGAATACTGCATCCAGTTTTGATCACCACATTACAAAAAAGATGTTGAGACTATGGAAAAAGTGTAAAGAAGAGCAAGTAAGATGATTAAAGATTTGGAGACTAACATATGGTTGCAGGATTTGGATTTGGCTAGTCGAGAGAAAAGAACTAGGGGGGGGGGAACATGATAATGGTATTTCAGTATTTGAGAGGTTGCCACAAAAAGGAGAGGGTCAATTTATTTCCCAAGGTACCAGAGGACAGGACAAAAAACAATGGATGGAAACTAATCAAAGAGAGACAACCTGGAATTAAGGAGAAACTTCACAACACTGAGGAAAATTAACCAGTGGAACAGCTTGCCTTCAGAAGTTGTGTGTGCTACATGGGGTTTTTTAAGAAGAGACTGGACAGTCACTTGTCTGAAATGGTATAGGATCTCCTGCTTGAGCAGCAGGCTGGATTAGAAGACCTGCAAGGTCCCTTCCAGCTCTATTCTGATTCAGACTTCATTCAGAAAAATAAAACATGTAGGATAATCTACCATTTTGCTTCTTTGCACAAATGAACATTTACTAGCAGAAATCCAACATTAATTTGAGTAAAGGTCAATACATGGTGCATTTCAATAGATTATTTTAATGATTATTATTTTAATGTTAATTCCACATATCTATAAGACAGAGAGACGCTAGTAGCTTGTAGCTTGCTAACAAAACAGAAATTGCATCCCCATCATACTGTCCATGAAGGCAACCCTCTACTCTTAGGACTTCAGAAAGGACCTTAGATTCAATGTTCATTTAAATTAATAAATCACTGGCATAAGAATCAGATTCTTGGCTGATTTAGTTCAGTATTAGTTCTCCATGGTGTCTGCCATAGGCATTTCTCAAATATATCTGGATATATTGTGAACATGGACTTTCTTTCTGCATCCAAGTGTGCAAGGGTGTTATTAATGCTATTCCCTATGGAACAGCATCACAGAGGGACTTCATTCAGAAACCCCAAAATAAGCAAGTGGGTTGTTTCATGAATGTCTGAAGGTTGGTGGGCAATATCATGGGCATGTTGTGCAAATGCATGAATAATTGTGTGACACAAACAATGCAATTTGTGCCATGTATTTGATGTCATGACAGACAAGATCATATAGCATAGCTACATGATATAAGGTTTATACTAGACCCTCCTGGCTGTCTTCTACATAATTATTTTGACTTTATTCTAACCCCTTTATGGGTAGATCCTCTCAAATCTCAAAAAATTCATGAAAATGTGAACTACTACATGGAAATGAAAAAATAGGAAATGCTGCTACAAATGAATATTTGGCTGAGAGGAGAAGACACTTTGAACAGCTATCACATCCCAGTGAGTCTAACCTTATAGGTAGGCTATATAGAGCACTTAATTTTTTTCTATTATACAGCTTGTTATATTCAAATTAATTCAGACCAAAGATCTAACATTTTCATGAATTCTGGAGTAATAAATTCATGCATTATGGATTATAAGACTACATTACATTATAAAAACAAAGTATTAATAAATATTTAATCTTTATTTCCTGATTTTTCTGGTTATTCAGAAAAAATAAAGGCCGGGTTGGGAGTAACACTAGGAAAAAAAATGAATCGTTATTTTTCCTCAATACTGAATATTCATTTAAGCTCCAATCAATACTGTATTAAGACTCTTTAATTGACATTTGATATTACTATCCATATTATATAATTTAGAGATTTTTCCAGCCTGGTAATCTCCAAGATGTTTTGGGATAACAATTGCTCAAACTATCGGCAAGCATGGACTTCAAACTTTCTGGAAGTTATTTCTAATATATCTGAAAGTCAGGGTTTAGGCAGGGTAATATAATACAATCATTATGCATTTCACTTTTTATTCAGATTATTCTTGTACAGAAGCAAGCTTATCTACTGTTATTACCTTTTCCTTCTGTTTCTGTTTCTTGGGACATTAAACTTGAATAGTGTTCCTCATAAAGTTCTTAAAAGCATTAAACTTATTTTTCTATAGTTGTTCTAAGTCTCTCACATCACACATTTTTTTATTGTTTGTGTTTTGGAATCATTGATACTCATGGTGACACTGATTGCCTGAATTAGTTCATGCCTTTCTTGGAAAGGTTTTTTGTTTTAAAGTGTTCACTATTGCCTTTTTCCTAGAGCTGAGAGAAAGTGGCTGGGCCAAGGTTTATATAAGGTGGAACTAGAAGTCATAGACTCCTGGTTTTTCGCCCATGCCATTCCTACAATCCACTGTAACTTGAGAGACCAGCTGGAGATTTTAAAAGAATAAGAAACTATATAAATATATTCATATATATATATTCATATAAATATATTCTATATTCATATCTATCTATATTTATTTATATATTAAGTTGAAATTGTATAATGAAAGAAATGTGTATATAGAAAGATGATAAGGAAATGTAAAAGATATCTTGATGCTGATATAATGATGTATAGAGTTTTACTTTATGTTTTTAAATTTTGAAAACTAAATAAAATTTAATTAAAAAATAAAATAAAAACACAGTTACAGGGGGAAAAAAGTTGATGTTCAAAGTTCCTAAATTGTTTTTGTTTGCTTAGCCTGCTTGAAAGAAAATCTGTGACTTTTACTTTGAAGTCTTTGGTCAACATTCTACTAAAATTGGTCCCGTTATTCTTTTGTCAACCTAACTCTGTACCCAGCAGAAGGAAAATGTCATCTTCTGCCAAGATCAAATTAGCTGTGCAAACTTCATACAGAAATGTTCACTCTAACATTCCAGGTCATATATTAGCTTTTCTAGGCAGGAAGATTCACCCTTATGCAGGAAAACGTTAACTTGGTTAGATGTAAATCAAATGGCAGCTTTGGGGTCTGTTTCAGTTATACTGGATATGAAGGTCAGAACATATATGATGTAATAGCAATCCCAATTTACATCATTCACTTGTAAACTGTGTGGGGAGAATACATGGGAAATAAGATAATTAATACTCCTCTGGTTTAATGTGCCCAACCAACAGTAAGAAATTTTCTTTCAGCTTGTGTCTGTGTTCATACACAACTGATCAGCTAGCGGGGGGGGGGGGGGGGGGGGGATCTTAAAAGCAGTGGTATTCTAATGACAAATTATAGATTTCATCCTCACCTCCTGGATGCAAGAGAACATATTGTTAATATAACACATATTGCTTCACACATCTCCTTTGGACTAGATATAGCAGCATCTGAAAGCCTATCTACAAAGCTCTCTGTGTCAAAGCAAGATTGCAAAGTGGGTAGAGGTATCTGAGTTCCACAATATCAGATTTGTATCCAGGACATACAAATGACTTCAACCAAAGAACAAAATGGCCATCTTCAGAAATCATCTAGATTGGCAATTGATTCCTTCACCAACATTGACAAAGTACAGCATTTTCTATTCTGCATAATTAGGATTATGAGATAATTAAATTTTTCTCCAAACCCTAACCATCACTGCCTATCCCACTACATAAATAGCTGTTTATGCTGCCCTTTTCAACATCTGCCTAACTGAATAAAATGAACAATTATCTCCTGAAAGACTCTTTAATATGGAATATGGCTATAGACTAAGATATGAAAATGTCTTCATGCTCTGATTAAGTAATTCTAGAGTTCTCATGACCTTGCAGTCAGTTTTCTGTCAGTTTCTATGGCAATTTCCTTTCCCTTCAAACTCTGCAATCACAGGAGTTCAGCATGCAGATTCGCAGGGGAGGGGTTAAGCATGTCTAGTTGCACTCTTTCTAATATGCAGAAACAGAAGATAAATTGTGAGTGATGAAAAGGCAAAGGATTTCATAGCTGGTCTTAATTTGCAATTAACTCATAGGAATGGGAATACCAAGAGAGAAGGAAAAGGGTGTTGGTGCTTACCTGACACGCCCGTTCTCCTTGAGCTGCGAAGAGCATCCAGTAGTGGGAGGTGCTTCAGTCTCTGCTCATCTAGGCTGGGCTTAATTTGCGGAACGCTCCTCCTCCTCCGTGGGACTCCTCCCCAGCGTTCCACAGTTTTGGCGAAGATGAGAGAACAAACACCCTCGCCCTTAACACTGTAAAAATTCGTTGGCCAAAACAGGATCCCACCAGACGGAAGAGGGTGGGGCTAGATGCTCTTCACAGCTCAAGGAGAACGGGCGTGTCAGGTAAGCACCAACGCCCTTTCTCCCACGAGCTGCTCAGAG